CTGGCCAGCTAGCTAGCTAGATGGCTAGCTAGCTAGATGGCTAGCTAGCTAGCTAGCTGGCTAGCGAGCTAGCTAGCTGGCTAGCTAGTTATACTGTGTAACGACTGAGCTAGGTAGCTAGTTAGTTGGGGAGATATTCGCAGCTAGCTAGCTGCTGCTGCAGGTTAAGGGGCAGGCAGATACAGCCCCCACACACAGCTAGCTACAGCTGTACGACCCGCTTCCTCTTCAGCTAGCTGGCTAGCTGGGTAGCTAGCTAGTTGGGTTTCTGGCTAGCTAGCTAGCTGGCTAGCTGGGTAGCTAGCTAGTTGGGTATCTGGCTAGCTAGCTAGCTGGCTAGTGAAGTTGCAGTGAGAGGAGCGGCTTAGGAACGCTGCCTGCCTCAGCAGGCAACGTCTGCAGGCTGCAGCAGCAGCAGCAGCAGCAGCTGCTGCTGCTGCTGCTGCTGCTGCTGCACTTACATGCACTCACTGGTGAAGCAGCTGTTGCTGCTGCTGCTGCTAGGTAGCACATGTGTTGCTGCGGCGGTGCATGCGGTGTGTCACACAACAATTTAGGGAATGTTTTGCTGCAGCAGCAGCAGCAACAGCAAACTGTACGTTTTCTGTTGCAGCTGCTGCAGCAGCTGCAGCAGCTGCTGCAGCAGCTGCAGCAGCTGCTGCTGCTGCTGTTTGTTTGTCAGCTAACTCTGTCTCAACTGCTGCAGCAGGGGCTAGCGCAGCAATTGAAGTATTTGGCTTCACCAGCAGCAACTACCGAGTTGCTGCTGCTGCAGTGCTGCTGCTGCTGCTGCTGCTGCGGCTACTGCTACTGTGTTGCTGCGGCAGTGCTGCTGCTGCTGCAGTGCAACTGCTGCAGCAGTGCTGCTGNGGCTACTGCTACTGTGTTGCTGCGGCAGTGCTGCTGCTGCTGCAGTGCAACTGCTGCAGCAGTGCTGCTGCTGCAGCGCTGCTGCTTTTGCTGTTTTGTGAACTCCACCTGACACTGTAGCATCGAAACAAATGTTTAGTTGATAGAGAATGGTGTTGCTGCTGCTGCTGCTGCTGCTGCTGCTGTTGCTGCTGCTGCTGTTGGTGCCTGGTGTGTCTGCTGGTAGCCAGCAGCACTCTGCTGCTGCACATGCGGCCTACGGGTTTGCAGCAGCAACAACTGCTGCTGCTGTTGCTGCTGCAGCAAATGTTGCTGCTGCAGCAACTGCTGCTGCTGTTGATGCTGCAGCAAGTTCTGCTGCTGTTCCTGCTGCAGCAACTGCTGCTGCTGCAGCAACGGTTGCTGCTGCTGCAGCAAAGGTGATGGCAGTGCCTCTATTGCTGCAGGGACTAAAGGCTTCTGCATCTGCAGCGGTTGCTGCTGCTGCTGCTGCAGCAGTTGCTGCTGCTGCTGCTGCAGCCNAAAGGCTTCTGCATCTGCAGCGGTTGCTGCTGCTGCTGCTGCAGCAGTTGCTGCTGCTGCTGCTGCAGCCGCAGTCGCTGTTGCCAGTGCTCGTAGCGGCTGCTTCCTCCTGTTGTTGTTGCTGCTGCTGCAGCAGCAGCTGCTGCTGCTGCTGCTGCTTCTGCTGCTGCTGCTGGGTCTCTGTAGTAGTCAGTAGACAAAGACAAAGTCCTTCCTACTGGCGGCCGCTCCTCTAAGACAAGAGACTTGCTGTGCATCACACGCTGCTGCTGCAGTTGCTGCTGCTGCAGTTGCTGCTGCTGCAGCTGCTGCAGCTGCTGCAGCTGCTGCGGCTGCAGTTGCTGCTGCAGCAGGAACGGCCTCTTCTGGAGCGGGGTGAGAGGCTGCCGAGGCTGAAGGGGGGTGGCGTGCTGCTGCTGCGGGGGCACCCCTAGCTGCTGCTGCTGCTGCTGCTGCAGCACTGTCTGTGGGTATGACTGCTGCTGCTGCTGCTGCTGCTGCTGCAGCAGCTGCTGCTGCAGCACTTTCTGTGGGTATGGCTGCTGTTGCTCTTGCTGCTGCTGCAGCACCGTCTGTGGGTATGGCGGCGGCGGCGGCGGCTGCTGCTGCAGCACTGTCTGTGGGTATGACTGCTGCTGCTGCTGCTGCTGCTGCTGCTGGTGCAGCACTGTCTGTGGGTAAGACTGCTGCTGCTGCTGCTGCTGCTGCTGCTGCGTCAGCAGTGGGGATGGT